TTCTTCAGTTCCTTGAGCTTAAGATATGCTGAGCGAGTTCGGCCCTTTTGATTTTCTGACTCCAACTCCTTACATATTTCATTGTAATATTTTGCTTTGTCATCCCTTGCTGTCTTTTGAAATCTTCTATTCAACTCTTTAGTATCTTGAATTATTCCCTGTGCTCTGGCCTCTCTGCGCTCCAGTGCAATTTTCAGAGTGCTTTCAAAATTTGTGGTCATTGAAAGAAAAAGAATATAGCTTTCAAGAAAATTGGAAGTGATGAAATGGGTGAGAAGACTGAAAGTCACCAAGCTATCTATCTCCATTTTCCCAGCTATCTTCTGCTATCATACTCTAACCAAAACTTTCTGTCTCAGGTCCACTAAACACAACATAGATATTTCTCAGTTCCCATCTTTACTCTGACTCATTAGAGAGGAACAGCCCACAGCACAGAGAGTGAGAGTAGTGGGGGCAGGGACTGAGAAGGGGGTGGCTTTCCATAATTTCCTCCTTACTGATCTGCACCCCAGCCCCAGAAGCGAGCTAATGTGCTTTCAGGTGTCCAGCCGCAGTACTCCCGCTCACCCAAACGCATCCCTTCTGTTCTGCTGTGGCGGCTGAATTAGTCACCCCTTTGGCCTCAATTATTCAACGATTATGGTTCACTTTGCTACTGCATCGTGAGGAATCAGAAATGGATCCCTGTAAAGGGCAGGTGCCAGTTGTGCCTGGCAAAGAAACCTCAGGGGATATTTTACAATGGGGATGGTTCAAGGCTTAATTTCATGTTTATTTTTTTTTTTAAAAACTTGTGGACTTGGGAGGGATTGTATGACAATGAAATAATTTTTCTTTTACTTTTCAAAGAGAAAAGCGAATTGGGGGGAGGGGTAAGACAGGGGGAAAGTGCAGCAATGAATGAATGGAAATCTAATGTCTCTGTAAATTTCCATTATAATTAATAAAAAAGGGAAAGGTGAAGAAAAAAGACATTTACAAAACTCTTGCCTTTCTTAGCTTTATATCTCCTTTTCTGTTGTCCCCCCCCCCAGAGTCCCCATCCCTGTCCTCCTTCTGCCTCTATCCCCCTCTCCCTGTCCCCGAATCTGTTTCCTCCTCTCTCAATCCACGAGGGAGTTCAGACAACAGACACGAATGAGCCACATCTGCTTCTGGGAACCTGCTGTGCAGAGAGGCGGGCCATCAGAAATGCAGCAGTGCAAAGTCCCGCCCTTTGACCTGTGACAATGAAGGGAAAGGGTGCCGCAGGACCTTTGGGCCAGCGTGGGTACAGGACCTCTGGTCAGCTGTGGGGCTGAGCCTTGGCAGGCTGACGTGGAGGGTACAGGAAGAGATAGTGTCCATAGTACATTCCACGGCCCTGAGACACACAGTTTCTTTCCAGAAAGGGGCAAGCTGCCAGCTGAGCCCGTGTTTGCCTCACAGTGTCCACGTGCGTGCTAGAACCACCTCCAGAGGTCTGTGTCAGCAAGCAGGCTTGAGTTACCAGCAAGTGTCACCAACAAGGACCCTGGGGCCCTATTTGCCTTTCCAATTTGCCAGGACAACTCTCTCATACACACATCAGCTAAGAGTCAAAAACACAAGGACCGTGGTCATTCCTAGAAAGGGTCACGGTGAAGTGTCTCATTCTCTTCTCTATCAAGAAACAAGGAGTCATGTCAATCGAGTAGGAAATGACTTAGGGCTGAACCTCCGTTGGGTTTCTGAGGCTAGAAATCACACAAGGAAACTGCCCATGTTTCTCCCAGAGCCGCTGTTGCATTTTGAACCACCTGTGAGGTGCGGCCTGTGGGCTAGCGGTGCAAATGGACCGCTCAAGGATCATGCCGCCACCACCATGTATTTGTGACTTTTCACAGGTCAACCCTGTCAACAGCTGAGCAGCTGCTGCTCTTGGCCGACCCCTCGTGCTCAATAGTGAGTATTGCAGAGAAAAAAATGCTAAACGCTCCTGGCGCCCGCCCTCACTTGCCTGTATTAATACATTCCACCTCTACCCACCGGCCTGACATTCTAGTCCTATGCCTGGGTGCAAAGGTGCATTGAGACCCAGAGCAATCGTGGGGTGAGGAGGTGCTTGGAGGCACTGAGGCCCCGTGTAGAATGCTCTGACAGACACAGTGACTCAAAGAGGTCTTCCTGATTCTGTAGCAATTGCGAGGCCCATCCAGCCTCCATTTATTCCCCTTTTGTCTTTGGCCTGACAGCTACTTTACATACTTGCCAAAGTGTTACCAAAGTGTGAGGGGGATTAATGAGGTGACCCAAGCACAGTCCTGAGTCTGACATCTCTCACCCTTCAGTGCCTTCTTCTTGGA